AGAGCAACCCAGCGGGGTCCAGGGACATCACTGCGGCACAGGGTCACGACCCGCTGACACCTGCCACTGAACAAGCCCAGATGTGAGCCAGGCCTGCCACTTACTGGCCAGTGGCCTCGGCAAGTGACTTCACTACTTTGAGCCTCGGCCTCCCCTCTGTGAAGTGGGGAAAAGAATCTCTTGCGGGGCAGACGTGAGGGACGGACAGGTGATGGGTGGGCGGAACCCCCAGGTGTGGAGGCCCTCCCCGCACCTGCTCACAGGCAGGGATGACACATGAGCACTGGTGGATTTCTTCCTGGCCGGTTGCCACCTCACCCAGGACCAGAGAAGGGGCCCCTGCTCAGCGCTGAACCGCCTCTGAGTTTGCAAAATTTAAAATTCAGTTCTCCAAGTATTTAGTTCCTGACTCTTAGCTGTGAAGCCCTGTGCCCGGCCAACGTCAGCATCAGCATCACCGTCCTCAGTGTCACAATCGGTCACAACGGGTGTTCCATGTGCACTGTCTCATCTACTCTCCCCTCAAAGCTCACCTTAGGAGGTGGGAATTATTATTAGCCCCGTTGTATAGATGGAGAAACTGAGGCCTACAGAGGTTAAATAACTCACTGGAAACCACAGAGCTAGTTGCTTATGGGACTGTGATTTCATCCTAATCGGCATTTAGATTCCAGACCCTTCTGCGTGTATAAAGCTGAATTCAGAGGGCTTGAAACAGAAAACCTCAAAGGTGGCCTGGCTGAATGAAGAGGGACAGCATCGCTCTGTGGCTAAGGTCAGAGGCTACGAGGCCAGAATGCCCGAGGTCAATTCACTATCAGCTGTGTGACCTTGGACGAGTTACTTAACCTCTCTGAACCTGAGTTTCCTGGAGATGATAAGGGTGCGCTTGCTCATGGAGCTATGGTGCAAATTAAATACGCGCAAAGCGCCAAGGAATGCCTGGCACACAGCCAGCTCCCAGGCAGCATCAGCCACCACAGATGTTCTTGTGGATCTTTCGGAGCGCTGGGAGGTGGCCTGGCC